AAATGGTAATCTAGGAATTGGTAAGGAAATTTTCCTTTTAGGGTATAGGGTTTAGATCCCGCCAACGTAATGAGTGCATGATTGAACATTACGTATAATAGTTGTATTCAGTTGTTGAAGAATTGTTCTTAATTTTATATAAGGATAGTTGTTATGATATACGTTCACGTTTCGGGACCAATTAGTTAGATGCATGAAGTAGCCTATATCCTCGAGGCAGAGCACAAAGAATGTGACACTTAAAGATTTACCAAGAGCGTTAGCTTTTGCTCTGTATGATGATCAAACCTAGAATCAACTTTACAATTATGCCTATCATGCTGAAGACAACCTGCTGAATAATAGGATTTGTACGTAACTGCAAGCTTTTTAAACCCTAAACTGAACTACTCACATAAAATATTATGCAACAGAGATGTCAATCATTTTATGGGAAATCCTGACATCTCTATTGTATAATTTTCCATGTTAGGAGTTGGGTTTAGCATTTAAAATGCTTGCAGTTGTATGCAAATCCTATTTTTCAGCAGGTTCTCTTCAGCATGATAGGCATAATTGCAAAGTTGATTCTAGGTTCGGTCTTCATGCAGAGCAAAAGCTACCGCTCGTGGTAAATCTTTAAGTGCCAGATTTCTTGTGTTCTGCCTCGAGGATATATGCTACTTCACGCATCTAACTAATTGGTCCCGAAACGTGAACGTATATCATAACAACTATCCTTATATAAAATTAAGAACAATTCTTCAACAACTGAATACAACTATTATACGTAATGTTCAATCATGTACTCCTTACGTTGGAGGGCTCTAAACCTTAAACCCTCAAAAGAAGCTTATCTTACCAATTCCTAGCTTACCATTTAGACCCCCAGGTTTTATTGGCTATGCAGTCAACATGATTAACTTGGATAATCACAGTTACAGAATTGATTCCGGCCATGATTGTGGGAGACTATAGTCTACAGATTGTTTGGCATTTATGTGATGATGCAGATGAAATATTAAACGGTCTCGTAAGCCACAATCAAAATAGACAAAGGGAGGAAATTTTGTTAATGTAGGGTTAATTTTGCATAAGTTACATACGATTTATAATTTTGTATGTGAATGTAATTATGTATGAGATGAGAAAAGTTAGCAATAGGTTGTTGTACATGTTTCTTATACATAATAGGTGTCATGTTGATACTTACGATATATGGAGATCGTTGTCATCACGTGAGGGACTGAATGGCCATTCCATTCCATCTTCAAAAAAATCAGTTGATGTAGGTTGTGTGCTTGTATTCAAACTGAGCTTGACTTGAGGGCATGTTAGTTTGTTATGTTCCTCACCGTTGAAGTACCCACATCGTCTAATTTTCTTCTCGACCTTTTTCTTCGATACTTCTTTTCGCTTGCGTTGTTTTCATTGAGGGTCGCGAATATTGTTTTCTACACTGCTCTGGTTGACTAAATCATTTAAACCAAACAAGTTTTCAAATTCTTCTATTAGTCTTTTCATCTCATCTCTTGCGGTTTTAAAAGACGCGTCTGTCTTTGATGCAATATAGCATAACCTACTTGACGTTGAATGTAGAGTAGCGAACCTTGCCATTTGCATCACTTCTAGAGGCACATTCAAGTCAACATAACTGGGTGCAGAAGCCTTCACATCCTTAGTCCACCTACTTTGAATCAAAATCCCGGGCAAATATGTGTAATCCAAGTGCTTCAAAATGTGAAGTTGATGGCGACACGGAAGTTTAACAATCTTAGGAGCAAATTAGGGTTTTCGTACGAGAATCAAAACAAATTTCAAATGTCATATTTTTTTCTTTCTACTTTGTCAAAATATAATGTTGACATTCATTAGATGAGGACTGAATCTCTTCCTCAATCTGGTATAATGTCTCCCGTTGAAGTTCATCTTAGAACGCACGAAAAGATTCGCGGGTAAAAATCTCAGCAGCATGGCTTTCAAGTTCGACCAGTTTTGTGATCTGGAAGGGCTTCGTCTAGGAACTTAAGTAATCCACTTTCAACTCGTTCATACGCATTCTACTAATTCCATCTTCAATTTCACGAACAACATCTAAATATGTTTTCTTGTGTTTTATTGCAATCGCTAGTGAAGCATTCATAGACTCGCACCTTTGTGTTGAGCGAATATTGGAAAAGAAATGATCGGTAATATATGCTTGTGCCCATACGTGCCGAGTATTTCCCTTCTCAATCACCCATGGATGCTTTTCAATGTTGAATTCTGAAACAATTGAACGCCATTGAATATCGAATTCCTCAGTTGTCCACCATGAAGCCATGCATTTTGAGAATGCTGCTATAAATTTTGGGTCACCAATGTTAGCTTGTGCATTGCAAGAAAGATGCCAAGAACATAATATGTGCTTAGCATAAGGGATAACATATTTGATAGCCCTCTGCATTGCCCTATCCCCATCGGTGACAACTGAAATAGACGATTTATTCATCATGGCTACTAAAAAATTCTGTAGCACCTACTCAAAAGATTGGGACATCTCGTCAGTGATTATGGCAGTGGAAAATACAATTGTGCTATGGTGATGATTGACACCAACAATAGGCATAATTGGTCGACCAAACAAATTATCTTTGTACGTTGTGTCGAACGCAATTACATCATCGAAGTATGTGTAATCTGATCTCGATGTAGAATCCGACCAAATAAGATTATGCAATGCCCCGAATTCGCTTACCGAGTATGTAATAAAAAACTCGGGATCATCATGTTTTTTATAATCAAAGTAAGCAATAAGCGCATTCACATCCCCATCGACGATTTCTTTTGCTTTACCTCTTTGAAGTGCATTGTAGAGGTCTTTATGTGTAAATCCAACATTATGATAGCTCCCTGCCTGCTGCGTTAAATAGTTCATTACTTGTGACGTGCCAACACCGACCTCTTTCAATGTTGTTGCCTCATCGATATCAGCCTTACTTACAACTCTATTAGAACGCATAAATGGTGTCATAGCAGGTGTGCACAATGCATGATTATGTTTCTGATAAGACTTACTTATAACCCAGTGATCGTTTGTATTTGTTGTTGTAACTACGACTCTAGCCTTGCATCCTGTTCTTGTGACTGGCGTATGAGCACGTTGACGATCAACAATATTGCCTTTTGATACTCGAAACCCTTATTTGGAACAACAAAATTCTTGTGTCTTCAAATTCCCTTCCAAGTCAAGTTGTGTTGTTCCCTTACATGCACTAAACCCATGTTCCCGTGCGAATCCCTTGTAAAAGTACCAAACTTGATCACGTGAAGAGAAGAGCTAACCAACCAATCTGTCAGATTCATCAACATTATGTACTTCATGGCATTCCTCGGTTGGCTTAACATTGTCTGCATCAGTATGATCCATGGCAAAAATTTTGTTGTACAAGTTCAGCGGTCTCGGAGTTGATGGAGATGAAAGTAAATGTTCATTCAACATGTTTCAGTCGTGCTTTCAATTGGATGTGGTATTGGTAGTGGTAGTTGAAGGGTGAGTACAACATTAAATTCGCGTGACATATTTAGGTGTGTACAATAACTACCTAAATATGTGTCGGTACATTTTCTAAAAGTATCGACCCAAAAAACATCGAAACCAATAATTATAATGTAATAGGTAAATTAACAATGTAACCGGTATAAATATACCGGTTAATTAGAAAACATTTCAACATAATGTATCGACAATTGTGTAATTTGTGTAGATACTTATTGTCCATAATGAATGCCCAAACGAGGTGCACACATAAAGTATCGATACAATTATTAAAAGTATCGATCCCAATAAAATCGAAACCGATAATTATAATGTAATATGTAAATTTACAATGTAACTGATATAAATATATCTGTTTTATGAGAAAATAGGTCATCTATTGTCGATACATTTATTAAAAGTATCGATCCCAAAAACATCGAAACCGATAATTACAATGTGATAGGTAAATTTACAATGTACCTTATAGAAATATACTGGTTTTATGAAAAAATAGGTCTAAATAATGTATCGTCGCTCTTTAAGTTTGTGTCGATACTTGTTTCCAGAATGAATGTCTAACGAGGTGCATGCATAAAGTGTCGATAAATTTAAAATTGTATCGATCCAAAAAACATCGAAACTGATAATTATAATTTAATAGGTAAATTTACAATGTTACCAGTATAAATATACCGGTTTACTTATAAAATAGGTCAATATATGCGCTACTTATTATATTATATAAGCGCTACCTAATTTGTTATTGTACTTTATAATATTTCCGGTTAAATGCCTATTTTATTATATAAGCACTACCTATTACATTATATAAGCGCTACCTAATATGTTATTGTACTTAATAATATTTCCGGTTAAATAATATAACATAACTGATTTAAATTTTAAACAGTCATTTATTTAACCGATCACACTATTTTTTAACCTTTTTTAGGCACCGCATAATAAAAATTCCCTTATTCTTTTAGTTTCCGATTTCAGTTCGTAACACCTTCTAACGAGGAGGTTAAATAAGGTAAATTTTCGAAACTGCACTTGGACATTTCTTTCTACTTGAGCCATGAGATTTCGAGTTATGCTCCTGTTTATGTTGTCTGCAATTTCCGTTGCATTGCAATTTGCCGCCGCCAACTGCTTCTACTATTGATGTGAAATTTGTTTACACTCTATTGGAGGTCTTTAACGGCGGCCCGTTTTGCCACCGCTATTTGCAATCCTATTGTAAGCTTCACATAACAACAAATAAAGCTCTTTGTTGAATAACTTGAAAAAGCTCCATGGGGGAAATATTCTAAATTTTAATCCATGACTTGGACTTTTCAGTTAAATTCTTATTTGGGGTTTCCTTACGTTTATCTTTGGTTGTGTCTTCAGCTAAAGCTTTGCGACTTCGGGTTTCCTCAATTTTGAATTTTGAATTTTGAATTGGGAAACTTGTGTTTTTGCTTATGCTAATGTAGTTTACCTTCTCATAGTTCAGGGTATGGGATCATCGAACATCAGAGATATATTGACTGCATTTAGTCCTTCTCTGGACTACTTTGCTTTTAGTTCTGGAGATGGTCCTATTAAGCTAGCTAAAATCATTTCAAGAGCAATTGATTGATGACAATTTTGAAAACTACATGTCGCATTTGTTGTTTCAATGTGAAAAATTATGCATCTTTTTCTAGAAGAAATATTTTTTTGTCTTGTTAGACTTGGGACACTTTGAAGGTTCAAATTCAAACTGAATTTGCAGACATTGTATCAAGTGAAGCAACAAGCATAAATGCTAAGTCAGAAAGAGGGTATCGTTCAATAGATTACAAATGTATGAAGTGGTTGTCTTTTGACAAAAAGGTTGGTCATTTCATTTGGACCAAAACCTTTAATTTTTGCAGAAGAAAAGGAAACTTGGAAGTTCTTTGCTCGTATTGGGAACTGGAAGTGGAGATGTCTTAGCCCTTGATGTGTCGGCTGGTCAGCTGAAGTGGAAATTTAGTGGTTGCCATCCCGGGTATGCACATGTTGAATTCATTTTTAGTTCCCTAATTTACTTTTGAACCCCAAAGCATCTACTATGGTTTTGCAATTATCTGAAGAGGAAGTGGAAATTCATAACAAAGTGAACTCACTGTGAATTATAGTTGAAATTCTTTTACTACTGTATGCAAATGTAAAAACGTCTGAATTTTTCACCCCCATAAAATGAGATCCCAGGAAATTGTGGAATTTAATATTTCAGTTCTTTTAATAGGCATTTTGCATTCTGCAAGAACTAAACAAAATTCTAATGTATTAATGAGCTCATGATTATTTTGGATGAATGCATTAGTCATTAAGTCCTTATCTGTTATTGCTTATTATTGTTGTCTCTGCTCATTTTCTCTCATAATAGCTCACAGGGGTGTCAGTGCCATTGCATTTGCTACGAATGCCTCTTGCATTTATAGTGCTGGGGTTGATGGGATGGTTTGTGAAATTGATTCATTGATGAGAAATCTATTGCGGAAGTTCAGAGCTTCTACTAAGTCTATATCTTGTTTGACTGTCTCACCAGGTAGGTGTTTTTGACAGCACTCTTGGTGCTCTGCTTTTGATTTCTACTCTATCATGAGATACTTCATTCTGAATTCATCATCTCGATATGGACTTTGTCTTCGATGGTGGTATTTATTTTACCAGGCATTTATGCTTTACAATACCAGACATTATTACTATGCTAGTGGTCAAAGAGTGATGGTAGGAATCTGCTACATAAAACCAACTTTATTGCATATTTCAAACATTAAATGTCATAGAACATATGAGGTAGCTTATGGGAGCTTCCCTTTCTTGTGTTAGAATGAAATCATTTTTTGCGAGGTTTTGATTTTTGTTTCATTTTGCTGATGCTGTAACTAGGATTTGGACCCTTTTAGATGGAAAGGCATTAGTTACTGCAGCTGCACAGTTGAAGACTTTTGATTGTTCTAATCACAAAAAGATACAGAAGTTTACTGGACATCCTATAAGTATTTTCAAGTTTATTTGCCTTTTGTGGTCATAACTTTATCCAATTAAGTGGAGATGTACAGTCAACATCGGAATCTTATTGCCTTTTTCCATTAGTTAATCCACTGTTTTTAAATTCATAGGTATCTGTTCGGTGCTTGATATTTACTGAAGATGGAAAATTTATCCTATCATCTGCTGCTGCTGAAAGATATATTGCTGTATGGAAAGCAGAAGGCAGAAAAAAGCAGTCCGCTATTTGTGTTTTGGCAATGGAGCACCCTGCTGTCTTTATAGATAGCAAATGTGTTAACGAGGAAATCTATGTTTCTGCGATTTCGGAAACTGGTGTTTGTTACTTTTGGTATGGTCAGGATATTGAGACATTGCGCAATGCCAAGCCCACCAAACTTTCAATATCTTTAGAAGATGGTTTATCTAAACCTCACAAAGGTGCATTGCCTACAATATTTGCTGCAAAATTGCAAGGTGTTGCCAAGCTAGCATCTGTACATGCGTTTCTTGCCCATGGTTTTCTGGTAAAGCCATTGTTTCAGAAAATTGTGGTGCAATGTGGCTCGGACATATTATTGAGTAGCTCCCAGGATGGGGTCCTTTTACCAAGGAGTCAACCCCTTAACAAATCAAAGAAAGGGCTTAATACACTGAATAGAGGTATATGTGATCATAATTCATAATTATGCTGGAATACTAACTTCTGAATCATTTGGCAATAGTTGCATGCGTTGGTTTCAATATTTGCTGCAAAATTGCAAGGTGTTGCCTAGCATCTGTGCATGCGTTTCTTGCCCACGGTTTTCTTGTAAAGCCATTGTTTCAGAAAATTGTGGTGCAATGTGGCTCGGACATATTATTGAGTAGCTCCCAGGATGGGGTCCTTTTACCAAGGAGTCAACCCCTTAACAAATCAAAGAAAGGGCTCAATACACTGAATAGAGGTATATGTGATCATAATTCATAATTATGCTGGAATACTAACTTCTGAATCATTTGGCAATAGTTGCATGCGTTGGTTTCAATGTGTGGTAAACCTTACATTCTTGCAGAACCCTTCAATACAAAAAAATGGACTTATAATTGTTTTTCTTGATTTCTTGGATTCATCTAGTTGAACGAAATAGTTATCTTTATTTTTTTGGTCGGGGTGCAGAAATGGTAATGCTCTTTTGCCTGGTTGGCTATTTTAATGTAGTCTTAGATTCCCATAAAAAAAACTTCTATTTGTCTTTTATTTCTGTTTATCATCTCTTATTTTGTTTTCAATTTCTTGTAGTAGATCACTTAAATGCTTCTGGTCCGTGGACTTTTAATGATAGTTTCATGTTTGTATTCAATTTGGGTTTCATGCTTCTGTGTCCATATGTGGGGTCATGTTATGTTATCTTTGATCGGTTAGCATGATAGCTGATTTCTTATCATGTAAATAGTAATTGCTTTGTTTCGTGCAAATGTCGAGGATGTCACACTTCCAATCCCGAAGATATTTAATCTTCATGAGGGAAAAGTGGATAGACGTAGAAGTTTGAGAGTTGATACTAACGATGTAATGACTGATTCCATTGACCCTAGGAGCCAACCGGAATTCGTGGATGGAAAAGGTAAATTTAACTTTCAAATTTTCATGTGTTTGGAGCTTAATCATTAACTGTACTTCTGTACGAGCTTTCAATTTAGTCTGTCGTGGTTAATAGATCTTCTAGAAAGGTTTGTGAATCTTATCAAAGTGGTTACTATTGCAATTTGCAACTTGAGTATACCGGGTTTCTTTTGATCTTGTAAATGTTCCATAAACTGGAAATCAATGCTGTTTAGACAGTTCAATAATAGAAAACAAATTGAAATAAAGGACTGGATGGAAGCAATATGAATCTTTCTTGTTAGATTTCTTGTTGTCATTTGTACATGGTTTTAGTGTGCCACTATTGATTTTTTCTTATTCTGGCCTATACAGATGACGATTAAATTAGAAGCCGGTTCAAAAGAACTTTGTATGGAGCATAACGGGTCATCTTTTAACATTGGTTAGCATGAGTGAGAAAGGTAGGGAGAGAAAGAGAGTGAGTGTGATAGGTCGTTCATCCTCCGATGAGGAATGGACTGTCTTTGTTGACAATCTTAGTAAGAGAGTTACTAGAAGAGAGTTAAGAGAGATTTCAATCATTATGGACGAATAGTGAGGGTCTTTATTCCAAGTTTTATGGTTAAACCGAATTATAAATCATCCACGTTTGTCATTGTGCAATATGCGATGGAGGAAGGCTGTAGAAGAGCAGTACAGAATGTTAATGGAACGTTGATTGATGGAAAGAGAGTCTCAATGGGGGTTGCAAAGGATAAGAATGGAGAATGAAATAGTGGAAAATAAGGGAGGTTATAATAAGAAAGCAAATGGATTAAGGAATGTATGGGAAATGCACATTCCTACTGAAGATTCATGCTGGGTGAAAAATTCTTTAACAGGGGTTATCAAATATCCCTTTCAGCCTGACATGGTGAAGAAGGCTTTGGTAAAGGAGGGATTTGAGGTCAAAATAGTAAGCTGGGGATATGTAAGGAATGCTTATATTATTATGTTCAATTTAAATGAAGAGTTCTTAAAGGTGTGGTCGAATTTTCGAGAGAAATTGTATTGTTGGTTTCATTGGTTATCTTTGTTGTTGAATTAAGAAGGTGTTCCATTGGCGTATTGCATGGTTGAGTTGGTTGGGTATGTAACCCCCTAGACCCGGCCTGAACGCTAGACTCAAACCTAAGCAGTCACATATCTCATTCAGAGATTCTGTTTATATTTAAAAACAACTTATAAAACATTAAAAGTAATACATATCAAAATATCGATAATATGGTTATATCCAAAACAATTGCAAAATACATGTCACCGAATACAACTGAAAAACATGTAGAGGTATTCGTTCGTACAAGTAAAAGTAGTTGATTTTCACTGATGCCAAATCTGCTAGTTTACGGTTTGTTATTATCTGAAAAGGGTAAAATTTACAAAATGAGTTAAAAAGCCAAGTGTGTTCCATACAGTGTAAAAATAAACATACAGATAAAATATTTCAATAAAATCAATTTATCAAACATGTTTTAAAACATGAACATTATTCCCATCTAATCACTCCAATCACTAGAATGTGTAGGTTCTCCAGAACCATACACCCATCTGCACACCATTAAGGACTTACCCTGAGCACAAAGTCGATGAGCCTGCGGTAATAACTGCCCCATCCAATTACTTCGATCACCAAAATGTGTAGGTTCCCCAGAACCATACACCCACCTGCACACCAGTAAGGACTTACCCTGAGCACACAACAAAAGAGTCTCAAATACTTCCTTCAATAATAACCCCCAATGACAGTAATAAACATTTATGTATTGGAGTGAAACGATAATTAATCCATATTCAGAAAGCAGGTACAAAACACCTTAACCAAAAATCATATCGCAAATATACAGTAACTCATATATCAAATAAACAGTATTCCGAACATCATATATTGTCTCATAAAAATATTTAGTATCATTTGAAATGTAAAACAGTTCAGATAGATAGTTTTAAAATAGTAAGGTAACACCGTCAGGAAACACACATGTAACTGTCTGAGTAATCAGATATGGAAGCCTACTACTAAGTCTGTCGATCACGCTCTGCTGCAACGCTAGATCCTACGAATCGGAAAAATCCATATTGGAAATCCTAATATGAATAATCTTAATCTTTATTTAAATAATTTACGGAAACCTACAGGTAATTCTCGTAGTACGCGATTCGGGCTGATCTGACGAACGAAAAACTCCGGACCTAACTGATCCTTGATAAGGTGAAACACGAGTACCTTCATAAAATATCTTATTAAATTAATTCCATAACTATATCTCAAATAAATAATCAAAAATGCTAATATACTAAGCATTTTTGGGTTAACGAGCTCGATTTCGAGATTTTCGGTTAGAATTTGGCAAAACGGACTTTGGAATTAGTTTCAGGAAGTCGAAAAACATAAAATATGACTTTTCACAAAATTTGACTTTTTGGTCAAAGTCAAAGTCAATGGGTTTGACTGACGATTTCGAGGCTTTCGGGTTCGAATTTCGAAAAACAGTCTTCGGATTCGGATAATATATGTCGAAAAACCTAAAATATGACTTTTCGAAAAATTTGACTTCCGATCAAAGTTAACGGTCAATGGTCGGTCAACGTCAACGGTCAACGAGTCGGGTTGGGTCAATGGGAAGGGTGGGTCGGACCAGGTCAGATCGGTCAAACCGGTTTTAATGCTTCTCAACCAATTTCGAACCTTCCCCAAGCGCAGTGGGGCCGCGTGGGACCTATTCCGACGTCTAAAAAATTACAAAATAAATTCCTAAAATTATTTCAAGCGATTTTGAGGCACTTACAAAGCTTGGTTCACAATTTTGAACGGTGGAGAGCTCGATTTCAACACATTGGAATCTTTGACCGCTTAACTTCTCTCACACGCCGACGACGACGGAGACAATGATGACACCGTTAGACTCGGAACGGCACAAGGAACACGATGGTGCAGGAGGTGTCGAAAACAGAGCAAAGATCGGAGATGAATTGAAGATTTTCTCGGCAGTGGTGCTAAAAACACGTCGAAACTTTGAATTGAAATTCACGGCGTTTGACAGCGTTTCACTTCAATTGTTTTATGGGGTTTGTTCATCGGACGATGACGAACACGATGGTGGGGTGGTTTTAAATCGACGATCGGTGGTCGGACGACGTCGGAATCGATTTTGGAAGTTGGGCGTTGGAGGAGGAAATTTGAGCAATGTTTCTGATTTCATAGATGAATTTCACACATATAATACATTTCTGTTGACACTATTTGGTAAAATTCAAGACTTGGTCCCTAAATTTCCTTCATTTCTAAAATAGCCTTCAGGTTTTGAAAACTTTTAATTTAATCCCCAAATTTCACCAAATTACTTGATTATAATTTATTTATTTATTCTTTTTCTGAGTTGTTACAATTCTCCCCTCTACAAGGAATTTCGTCATCGAAATTTACCTTATGAGAATAACTGAGGAAATTGAGCCTCCATTGTCTCCAATGTCTCCCAAGTAGCTTCTGAGGGGTCACGGTTACTCCATTGAACTTTGACCATTGGAATACACCTATTCCGAAGAACTCATTCATCCCTTTCTAAAATTTGAACGGGCTCATCCTCATATGACAAATCAGGTCTCAGCTCTACCTCATCAACCTGAATGATGTGATCTGGATCTGGATGGTATCACCTCAACATAGACATGTGAAAAACATTATGAATACGATTGATCTGGGGAGGCAACACAAGCTGATAAGCAACAGGTCCGACTTTTTTTTAGAATACGATACGGCCCAATAAATCTCGGACTCATCTTACCTTTACGTCCAAATCTCAATACTTTCTTCCATGGAGATACCTTGAGAAAAACTTGATTCCCAACCTCAAACTCGATATCCTTACGTCGTTTATCTGCGTATGATTTATGCTTATCAAATGCCTCTCTTAAGCAATCACAGATCAATCTGACAGTATCTTCAGTCTCTTGAACCAATTCTGGACCCAAAGTTTTTCTATCATGTAACTTTGTCCAACATATAGGAGTACGACATCTACGTCCATACACAGCCTCGTACGGTGCCATACGAATACTTGTCTGGTAACTATTATTATAAGCAAAATAAGCTAATGGAAAGAAATCTTCCCAACTACCATGGAAATCAATCACGTAACCCCGTAACATATCCTCCAACACCTGAATAACTCGCTCAGACTGACAATCAGTCTGTGGATGAAAAGTTGTACTGAAATTCAAACGAGTACCCAGAGCCTCATGCAAAGCCTTCCAGAACCTGGAAGTGAACCTTGGATCTCGTTCAGATATGATAGACAATGGAACACAATGAAGCCTAGCAATCTAAAAAATATACAATCTAACCAGTTTGTCCAGAGAATACTTAACCTGAATAAGGATAAAGTGCGCTGACTTAGTGAGTCGATCAACAATCACCCAAATAGAATCCTTTTTGGAAGGAGTCAGAGGAAGACCAGTAACAAAGTCCATCGTAATGCACTCCCATTTCTACTCAGGAATCTTAATTGACTGTAACAATCCATATGGATGTTGGTGCTCTGCCTTAACCTGCTGACAAGTCAAACACCGCGCCACAAAATCTGAAATATTCTTTTTCATATCAGTCCAAAAGTAGCGCTCTTTGAGATTATTGTACATTTTATCCCTGCCAGGATGCATAGCATAAGGACTACTATGAGCCTCCTGAAGAATAACCTACCTCAACTTATTATCTTTAGGGACATAATAACGACCGTGAAAGAATAAAATACCATCTTGATCTATAGTATACTCTGAACTCGATCCCTACTTAACTTGTTCAATAATGGGAGCTTAATCTCCTCAGCCAAAGTAGGTTTAACCTGCAATTCTGCTAACAAACTATTATCATCAAATAAACTCAAGTTGGCGAATAAGGCTATAAGATCTGATATCGCCTTACGGCTCAAGGTGTCGGCCACTACATTAGCCTTTCCTGGATGATATTCTATTTCAAAATTATAGTCCTTTAGAAGCTCCAACCAGCGACGCTGTCTTAAATTCAATTCTTTCTGAGTAAGCATATACTTTAGACTCTTATGATCGGTATAGATATAACACTTTTCCCTGTAGAGGTAGTGTCTCCAGATCTTTAAAGCAAAAACCATGATAGCTAATTCTAGATCGTGAGTAGGATAGTTATGCTCATACGACTTTAATTGACGTGACGCATAACCGACAACCTTCCCATCTTGCATCAAAACACATCCTAAACCAGAGTGAGAAGCATCACTGTAGACATAAAAATCTTTCTCAGACTCAGGCTGAATCAACACTGGAGCTTGAGTTAGAACAGTCTTCAGTTTCTCAAAGCTAGCTTGTTGATCCTCAGACCAGACAAATGGAACATCTTTCCTCAATAGTTTCGTTAGAGGAGTTACAATAAAGGAGAACCCCTC